GAAATTACAAATGTAGCAGGGAATACAAGTTCACGGAAACTAAGAATATATCAGCAGCAAAATGTCTAAAAGAAATGACTCCCATTTGAATGTCCGTCACAAAAACACGAAGTAAGATAATTCCCAAAGTCTACGCGAATTATTGCGAGAATTACTCGCGAGGAACTCCCGGGCAGCGAAATGACGTAGGGCTCCGTAAAGATAACGCATGGCGCCCCCCACAAACGGAGCCGAAGAGAGCATCGCCAGGGGTCTTGGTGGGAACAATGATAGAAGATAATGTTCGCGTACCTCGGCACTCCCGGCCCCTTGCGCAGAAATACGGCTTCCTCCCGCAATCTGCTGTAAGAAGCCGACGGCGGCGCCCGGAAGGGCCCGGAAGCTGCGTGGGGCCCTGAACCAGCGCTACGCTCGCGGCAAGGCCCCGGAAATTACGAAGGCGCGATTTCTGTCTGCTTCGGAGTGGAGCGGGGGCGGGGGGGGGGGGCAAGCACTTCTGTTTTGTCGGCTTCCGACCGGCTTTAAGTCCGTGTAGGTAGATAGATATCAATACAGTGTAAAGAATGTATCCTACGCTCGATCAAATCATACGCGACTCTTTCGACTGGCGCAGTTTAAGTTTAAGTTCAGTTTTGTTGTGAAACTGTTCGGAATTCGTTGTAGTTGAAGTATTGAGTTAATCCTACAAATTCTAAATTTTAATACCGTCCGATGCTCCGCAATAATTTTCTTACACTCAAGACTACAAAAGGCAGCTGTTTGACTCTAAAAAAAAAGTGACTTTGCTAAATTTATTACAATTATCTATAATTTTTATAGAATTCATATTACTATTAAACTTGATATTCTTTATTTTTAATAGTTATTTAAAAGAGTCGAAGCCGATTCTCCATTTTTGCCCCGCACCCAGCTGTCGCTCTTTTCTGACCTCGCTCCGGTCACATCCTTGCTTTTTTTGAACTCCCTCTCCTCAGTCCTTTCCTCTCCCTCTGTCTTATTCGCTTTCTTTACCTAACTGCCCTCGCCGCCCTCGCCGCCCTCGCCGCCCTCGCCGCACTCGCCGCCCTCGCTTCCCTGGCGCCGCCTCTCCGCCCTCGCCGCCCTCGCCGCCCTCGCTTCCCTCGCGCGCCTAGCCGGCCCTCGCCGGCCTGCTGGCCGCCTCGTCCGCCCTCGCCGCCTCCCGCTCGCCGCCATCGCCGCCCCTCGCCGCCCTCGCCGCCTCGCGCCCTCGCGCCTCGCCCTCGCCGCCTCCGCCTCGGCGCCCTCGCCGCCCTGCCGCCCTCGCCGCCTCGCCGCTCGCCGCCCTCCGCCCCGCCGCCCTCGCCGCCGCCCTCGCCGCCCTCGCCGCCTCGCCCCTCGCCGCCTCGCCCGCGCCTCGCGCCTCGCCGCCCTCGCCGCCCCTCGCCGCCTCGCCGCCTCGCCCCTCGCTCGCCCTCGCCCGCCTCGCCGCCCTCGCCGCCCTCGCCGCCCTCGCCCCTCGCCGCCTCGCCGCCCTCGCCGCCTCGCCCTCGCCGCCTCTGCCGCCCTCGCCGCCCTCCGCCGCCTCGCCGCCCTCTGCCGCCCTCGCCGCCCTCGCCGCGCCCCTCGCCGCCCTCGCCGCCCTCGCCGCCCTCGCCCCCTCGCCGCCCTCTGCCGCCCTCGCCGCCCTCGCCGCCTCCCGCCTCGCGCCCTTCCGCCGCCTCGCCTGCCGCTCACCGCTCCGACAGGCCCCTCACTCTACCGCCCCGCCACCACAACCGTCCTCCGCCGCGTCCCTACAACTTTCTCCGCTTCCCCTCTCCCTTCCTCCCAAACTCTGGCCTTCCACACCCTTTTCCCCTACGATGCAGGAGACACGCTTGCGTCCCAGCGCCAATTCCTTTATTCCGCCCCCGCCCGTGTCCCAGCGGACACTCTCCGAGGCCCCCGGTCCAAGGGCGTTGCCTCCGCCGCCGCGCTGCTGTTTCTTCGACCGCCCCCTCCACTTCCCGCGCCCGCTGCAGCAAAACCGGGCGCGCGCTGCACGGGGAGATGACAGCCGCACGATCCGATATATCTCCCTCTGCCGCCGCGGCTGCGCGGGGGCCCGGGGCCTCGGCGGCGACTGCCGCTCGGCGGCGTCAGGTGCGGTCTATCGGGCTCCTCCGGACGACCCCTCCCCCTTCACCCTCACCCTCCGCCTCCGTCCGCCTCCGCCTGCGGCCGAGGGCGAGGCCTCCGTACCACCCTCTTCCGGTTTGCATCATTACAGCGAGACACCCACATGATGGATTCTCTAGGATAGCATTTCTATTATTTTCGAAAATGAGGAAACATCTCTTTCCTGGATGAACTGCTCAATCTATCTTATCAAGGTATTGCTATGGTATTGCTTAAAGGCTAAAAATGCCTGATGACTGAATGTGTAATGTTATTGTTATTATTATTATTATTGTTGTTGTTGTTATTATTATTATTAATTTTCTCTGTTCATTTGCCTGTATGGAAACAGAACTTACATCGTAACCACATTCATAATTTTTACCCAAATGTATTCTCCGATCAAGCTGGTTCATGAACAGTCCCTAGAATTCGAAACGTACATTTCGGTATTTGAGCGATGTTTATATTAAGCTCCATATAGATATTCAAAATGTTCTGACCATAGGCTTAATTTGCGTTTTTTTATTATCTTACCGATGATAGTAAAAAGAAAAATAGAGCAGGTTCAATATTCATTAAAAACTCTACGTTCTGAAAATCTATCCGACCGACTCTCTTCGTCTGTCTGGCTGTGGACATTACTAGAGCTAAAACCATTCATAAGATTTTCAGTGGTAATTTCCATGAATTCTTTAGAAACTCTCGAGATGTTTCCATGACTCGCTAAGTGATGATATTTGAGTCGGATCAGATCAACCTATTTTTTTCCAGCGTGGTTTCCATTTACTATATCTACTTAATAATTCCCTTAAGTAGTCTCAAGTGTTTTGTATGCTAAGCTGTCAAGACTGGAACGATTTAACTGGATCATTTTGGAAAGCAGTTTTGTTTCTTTGTAAGTATCTGGATGTCTGAATTTTTTCATTAATATATTTTCCAGTGACATTGTATAATTATCTCATTATATGATCACAGCTCGTTGCGTATTGATTTTATACATTATGTACGTTGCTATGCCGAGACAACGTAGGAGGAGAGGTCGATTAATCGTCCACTCTCTACTCTATTTCCAAACTCAGAAAAAATTGATAATACTAAAGCCCCGTATAGGGACTGTTATAGGTATTAAGCTGATTAAAAAAAGGATCCAGAACTTTGATAACATTTCTTTAACAAATTTAATCCTAAGTTAAGACTTCTGCTTCTGTCACACTTCTGAGTGAACTGCTTCTTGGAAGTCGAATTGTGCTTCTAATTAACCAATGCCACCTCCTAGACCGCTTTTCGCTAGGTGGCTTTGGATGAATGTCGAAAGTCATCGCTTATGTCATCGCTCAAAACAAAGGAGTAAGTTATAATAGAAATCACTAATTGGGAAAGAAGCACCATGAAATTATTAGTAAAGGAGCATTAATACACACGAATGAAATTTAACATAATCTCTTGTAATGTAATATCACTCCACACGCGTATGTAAATACCCAACATTACATCATTATTTTATGATACACTATTTATGATAGCATTTCCTCCACTTAACCTGTGAAATTTTCCACTAATCATGCAAGACAACCACGAAATCATTTATTTATTGTCAAAACGTAAATATTCATCAAGTACGGAAAATTGAATGTTTTATAGCTATTCCATATAAATCGTGATACACAATTGTCGAACTTAATTAAAAAACTAATACTGAATAAACTCTGAATTAAATCGTGAATTAAGGTCTGAATATTATCTAAAACGTGAATTTAAAACCCTATAGTTTATTTCTGTACTTTTACATAAAATCACGACAGGAAGCCAATAAATTGTCTTATAAATATGTTGCTGAGTAAACAACTTGTATATGAACATCCAAAGTACTGTTTTCTTAGTTTTTCATTTTGCAATATCTTAAGATTTATTCTTTTTTATACCTCTGCCATGACACCTGTCAATTTTCGAAACAAAGTTTTAAACTATGAGGAAAATTTACTTGTCTCCACACATTCTGAATGGTTATATGCTAAAAAAATATGCAGCAAATGTCCAACAAAAGGAAAACATTGCAGAACGGAGGTGCTCTTTGTCGACGAGAGAAGAAGAGTTTAAACTGTCATATTTAACTGGACGCGCTCTAAACTTTAAACTGTGTAAAGTTTTAGTTCCTACTGGAATTTCGCTTTCCTTTCCTGTTTTCTAGGCATGACAGCTTTCAGAGTTAGGACAGTTTTTCCCACCTTTGTGCTTTGAGTTTGTTGTGCTTTAATGTGCTTTAAACGACAGCCGCTTCAGAACAGTCGTTTAAAAATGATCTTTGACCTTTATCGTATAATCTAAAACCACTTTCAAAAATGATTTAAATTACATAATCTTGCTATTAATTTAAAACATCTTACGACGAATCAACTTAAAATAAAAACAAAATTAGTCACATTTTGAAGAATAAAGTTTACATGTTTATGGTGTTTATTATTGCAAAATGAGGTCGTAACTGTCACATAATTATAGTTTTATTGGGTGAAGATACTGAGAGTTGGTCGATGGTAGTTGCATAAAAAAGACAAGAATGTTCTTCTAAATTCAAAATTATTTGAAAATATTTTTTAAAGATAACGATTATGAAAGGCAGTTAAAACTAGTTCAAAACAAAATTAAATATTACATCAAGGTAACACAAAGTTGTCAAAGTATGAGGAATTTCTGACCTCAAATCAACGTGGAAAACAATCAATACTCCAATCATCATAATAACATCTCGTAGTAAAAAGCGTTGTTGTCATAACAACGAAAAATACATAAACACAAAAATATTGCGAAAGTTTCGAATTGATAGGGCAAAATGAATTTCTGAATATCAGTTTTCTACTTCAAGATTCCGCGTATCATTTAACATGGCTGAAGGACCAGAAGGAACAGAAGTCCCCACATTCAAGTGCGTTTTGGTCGGCGATGGCGGTGTGGGGAAAACTACATTTGTGAAGAGACATCTGACGGGGGAGTTCACGAAGAAGTACCTCGCGACCGTGGGGGCCGAGGTGCACCCGCTGCTATTCCACACGTCCAGAGGTCCCATCAAGTTCGATATTTGGGACACTGCCGGGCAGGAGAAATTTGGAGGACTTCGAGATGGATACTACGTGCATGCTGTATGTGGCCTGATCATGTTTGATGTAACGTCCCGAGTAACATACAAAAACGTTCCGACGTGGCACAAAGATCTGGTTCGTGTTTGTGAAAAAATCCCCATAGTTCTGTGTGGCAATAAGGTCGATGCGAAAGATCGCAAAGTTAAACCAAAGCAGGTGACTTTTCACCGAAAAAAGGGACTGAAATATTACGAGATAAGTGCTAAGAGTAATTACAACTTCGAAAAGCCTTTCCTGTGGATTGCAAAACAACTGCTTGGTGATATGGATTTGACACTCGTTGCAATGCCAGCTTTGGCTCCACCAGAAGTGACATTGGACGTGGTTTTTCAGAGAAAAATTGAAGAAGACCTGGAAGAAGCTCAAAATACGGAGTTGCCAGATGATGAAGAGGAAGAAGATGTGTGAAAGAAATGTCCATTAGCATAAAACAGTAACTGATTTGTTAGTTTCAGCAATTTGTTTTGAAATTTTAATTTTCTAAATATTACTGCCAATCTTCTGTTTACAAAATACGTGCAAAATCAATATTTTTGCAAATTTATTATCAAGCTTAAATAAGGTATATATTTTTGAGTGATTTATTTATATGAAAATATAATTTTTTATGATAGGTGTGATTGTCATTTATTTATCTTTATCATATAAATATTTTATCATAACAGTTTTTCTAGCTTATTGAATATGTGTGAACATTTTGTCAATAGTTTGGTTAAAGCTACAAAAAGCAGCAAAATGTTATGGTCCGTATCCTTATATATCAATAATTATTTTAATTGCTAGTAGTTTTTAACTTATTACCATTAGTTATAATTTCCGAAAGAATATGAAAATTTCATGAATCATTTTGACACAGAATTACTATATGTACTATTAACAATTTATGTAGATTATTACCAAGATTTATATCTCTTTAAAGTTTTTTTACAGTATATTTTACAATTATACAAAAAAATCAGCAACAAATTAATTATATTATCGGTTCATTTGATTCTATTTAAATAATACTCACAATGTGAGCAACGTTCTTCTTAGAAATTAGTGGAATGAATTCTAAAACTTCAAGAAAACTCTTTCAAAGGAAGGAAAGCGATAAAGGGAACTATATTCACACTTTCCCTGCAATGTTTTACTTTTTCATTTTCACCTGATAACATGTAGATATAATTTTTGCTACGATTTAAAATTATTTCAAATTAGATCGGAAAATATTAGCATTTATTAATAAACACAAAACCCATTTTATAAATTATATTTTCAGAATTTTCTCATTTTATTAATTTTGCAGTCCAAGCATTTCGTGGAAGCGATTTTGACCAAAACTGCCACTTAAAAATCAATGTTGATAAAAAGAAGGGTTTTGTAAGTGGTGAATCCGAATAAATATATATGATACAATATTTATCCCTATTGGTCTAAACATTAATCGCGGTCATTTCCTACTCTTCTTGCAGGCTCGACTCCTGGCCTGTCCATTTTCAGTAAGAAATTTAGAGCAATGTAGGTAAAGCGAGATTTATCGAGTTTTCCCTGTTTCACTTAGGTCTCACTGCACAATTTTCCCTTAGTTATTATTATTAATATGCTAATCAGTTTTGAAAAGGTGACACGAATACATTTTTGTAACTACGCTTTTATTAAATATAAACATATTTAACAAAAATATATGGTTTTGATTTTGTACATGTTACAAAAATGTGTCTTTATACTGCAACACGAATGCATAGAGTATCACTTGAATCCACAGTACGTAATTCTTAACATTACTTTTATTTCTGTTTGGCGGGCAATAAAAAATCTTCAGTGATGCATTTCATAAAATTGGTCATCTGCAGTTGTTTTATAGAAATATTTACTTTTTATTGCACAGAGATAGTGTAATATCTCAATCTCAGGAAACATTTATTTAATAAAAGAAACGTTTTGGCTCTTGTTTCAACAAGCTCACTGTCCTTACATCACTGATTTATTACGCGTATTCCGTTAGGCCGTATTTAGCCTACTTGGCTTGCCTGAGCTTTTTCTTTCGTCATACAAGGCCGGATCACACCACGACACGCTAGTGCGTTGTCCACGAGCTAATCAAGGAGCATGATATATCCGAATTACTTTCTTGTTCAAGAGGATTCGGAAAACTGTACTGTACAAACAGTTTTTTTAATGTGTTAAGTAATACCAATTGATTCAATAAATATCCTGGGTTACGTCATCATATTCCGGACGTAATTGAAAAATCTAAGTGCAGTCTGAATGACCAGTGAGGCACGACTTTTATAACTTGCTTCAAGAGGATAGAAACGTTGTCGCACCCATAAACCATCCCGCAAACGTGTTTTGATTCCCAGGGAAATTTATCCTGCCAGTATCCGTCCATAAATTTGCAACCCCCGCCACCCTCTTCACAGCGCGTCTTTATCTGCGCTATATAAATCGAACTTAGGGTCAAGGGCGTACAAGAGCGCTGTTGTGAGCGTAATAAATGGGGTTGAATTTTTTTGTAGGAACCTCTCATTCTCTTGGAGTGAAAAAATAATAAATGCGAGGAGGATAAAGGGAAACTTTGGAGAGGACGAGAGGGGCTGCGTAAGTTATATTGGAGTCGCATACCTGTCAGGTGAGGGGTTGCGTATTCACATAAACGAGACACCGGCAGCTTAATTGAGTTCTCTATTTGCAAAGTCTTCACTTAAAGTTAATTTGTTTTGACTGAGGTACAATTACAATCAAATAAATATTACACAAAACTACAACACAGATTAGTTAATGAAAAATGTACACAATTGAAGGGATTTCTACATTGTAAAACTATATTCTATACTATAATATTTCAGATGTTCCTTCACAAAATCGTTCAGTGTAGTAATACTACAAACAAATTGCAATGCGTTCGGTTTGGATAACTAATCACGTATAAATGCAAAACATATATATTTAAAAATAATGCATGCAATCATTAAAAAATATAAAAGGCCAAAACAAAGAAAAATATCTGCGGTAGTTTGAGTGAAAAGTGAAAAGATTAGAGTTAGATGGAGGTAGGAAAGATGTAAATTTACTTCATGCTTAACAGGAGGCAACGGTCCAAGAGTTCTTGACGTAGATATTGAATTCTCATGGATAATATACTTCATCGGAACCATTTTTCTTCAATTCAAAATAGAGAAAAAAATAATGATAAGTTTGTCCAGTTCAGAAGCACATTAGACCAGATATTCTACGGGCAATCGGCCAATGAGTAATTCCTAGCATTTTCACAACTTTTTCTTCTGGTGGAGATTCTCGACAACCGCCCACAGCGTGACGCTAAGAAGTAGTTTTGAGTGCACCATATTCTATTAGAATATCTGTATATACAGCATATTTATTTCCATCACTCTAAAATATATTTAACACTGACTCAGAAAAAATTTAAACATGAAAATTCGTTGAAATCTTTAAAAAGTGTATATTTAATTAATATCGTAATGAGAAAAATATTTTTTTTTTATTTTCAAAAATTAAAACAAAATACCAAGACATGTTTTTAATACCATGTGTGCTCATCTTTTGATTTCGGAATTCGATTTCAGTGTCACCTCTTAACTCGTATGCAAACACGTTACGAGAGCAGTAGGAGATTTTATTTTGACCCATCTGGGGCAACATCCCATTGAAGGAGATACTTACTGAAGAAAAGTCCTAAAATCGGATGTTGGCCAATGTCAGACCTCACGTACCACCCACACCTTCCGGAAAATATCGTGCGATGTACTTAGCTAGTAATGACTTCAGTAGTTGTGGCACCAAGAAACAATCAGCACATAGGAGCGTTATAGAAATGTCAACAGTATTTAATGGCCTTCCTTCAAACTGTTCCTGCACTAGCTGGACCATCAAAATGCATCTGTTTCCGTATGCAAGTGGTGCATCCGTCGCGCAGAGACTATTCTCCGCATTGGGATGCAAGCGCATCGCCATTAGGGTCGCCCGCCTTCGCGCCAGGGATTCTCCGGTTGGTCGAGCGGCGAGAGCCGGGGCGGGGCGCGGGGCGGGGCGGGTGCTGCGTTAGGAATCAGGATTCATCCGTCTGCACCGCGTCGCCCCGCCCCCGCCTCTCGCCTGACGAAAATACTCTCTGGTCGCTCCAAAGTAGCTCACCGCTCTCAGTAAATTTTATCTCGGCTAAAGGGAATGCGCAACGAAAGGTTTCCCGCGTTCGTGACTGCGCGCGGCGTCCACACGCGGCGACCTCCGCCACGCCCGCCACTCCACACCTGCCGTCAGACACGCCGCCACTTCCGCCATC